CTGGACGGACGCATCATTAGCGTTAGCATGATCATCCAGTGCTTTATCACAGTGTTGCGAGCGAAAGGGGGAGGGTTCCAGGCTCTGGTCATTTGAGGAACTGTAATGAGGCAGACTTAAAGCTGGGGTACCTTACTTTTAAAAATAATCAATAGAACAATGTCTATAGTCTCTCTCTGGTCTCTCTCGCTCTCTGTGGTACCTCTTTCTGGTCTCTCTCCCTCGTCTCCCTCTGGTGCCAACCTGCTAACTCAATGAAGCCCAATAGGGAAGCGCTCATGGACAAAGTTTTGCTCCAGCTTTCTCTGGATCCTTTCATGACTTACATTTAAAAGTAAACTCCTCACACTCACCGTTTTGGGCTTAAACAAATGTGTGCTTCATTGTGGCGTTGTCTTTGTAAATTCAGATATTGTATGAGCTTATCGAGTGGTCAATAAAATGCCTTTTCTTTCGCAAGAAGAACTCCAGCTTGCCTTAGCAACTGTTTTACCAAACAGGTCTGCCCCCATTCCGGCGCAAAGCTACTGCCCTCGGAACGGAACAAATGCCCATATAAGGAAATTCTCTCCAGAAAGCTTATCTTCAACACTTTTTCACACTAAAATTAATGACATCTTGGCTAAATCTCTGAGATTCTCCCCCACGTGTCTCTTCTCACTATGACATATTTATTTAACAGCAAAAAATAGAAATGTAATCTCTGGTGTGCTGCCGTTCTGGTCCCATCCATCTGCTTTCCTCTTCTATTATCATTCGTTTGGCTCCTGCAGATACTGTGGCGGCTTACTGCCTTCTTTCTTGTTTTGTTTTCGCACTCCCACATATGCTTCTTCTCTAAAAGCAGTTCACAATTACCTCCAAGTCCCACACCGAAATCACAACAGGAAAACAGAAAGTGTCAGTAGAATCTGTTCATGTTAGCTTCGTGAGGAAAGCTTTCAGTGGCTGTTCTAGAAGATATGAACAAAATATGTTATTTCATTCAAGATAACACTGTTTTTAAAGCTCTCTCTCTGGCCTCACTCTCTGGTCTTTGTCTCTCTCTGGTCTTTGTCTCTCTCTGGTCTTTCTCTCTGACCTCTCTCTCACTGGCCTCTCTTTCTGCCCTCTCTCTGGTATCTTTCTAGTCTCTCACTGGCCTCTCTCTGGTCTCTCTCACTGATCTCTCTCTCTCTCACTGATCTCTCTCTCTGGTCTCTCTCACTGACCTCTCTCTCACTTGCCTCTCTCTCTCTGGTCTCTCTCTCTGGTCTCTTTATCTGGCCTCTCACTATCTGGCCTCTCTCTCTGGTCTTAGAGGGCACGGTCACATAGGTTTTAACAAACAAACTAGGCCAAGTGGCCCGGATTGTCGCCACAGGGGTGTGAAAACGGCCCGCTGTCACAAGAACGTGTTTTCGCAAACGTGCCAGAGCAACTGTGCTCTAGTACAACGCTCGGTCCAGCTGGTGGCGCTAATACTAACTTCAGCAACTACCTTGTGTTCCGAGTTAAGTTTCCGTTTCTCTTCCTGTTTACATTCTGCTACTGTAGCTAATAGCTCAAGTACGGATCGCGTTGTTTAGGGAAAGACACATCTCACTCTTGTCCACATTGCTCTGATGCAAAGTGCAGCAGGTCAGTAGGTAACGTGTGTGGACGTTTAACACAAACGGAGAATACGAAAGTGCAGAGACGTGTGTGAAAATGCGCGTCACAACGGAAGACGTACTGTGACACACAATATCAAGTCCCCACCACACCTCATCCTCCGCTCCCCACCACCCCCCACACTGACCCCCCTCATCTGGGCTTTACAAAGCGTGCTCTAGCCCACCTCTCTCAACCGTGCCCAAGCCCACTTGCAGAAACCGTGCCCAAGCCCACTTGCCATGGTCACATAGCACCTAAAGCCCGGATCAAATCACGAAGTGGACTCAGGCCAACTTTAACTGGGCTTTAGGGTGCGCATGTGACCCAGCCTCTCTCTGGTCTCTCTTTCTGGCCTCTTTTTCTGGTCTCTCTCACTGGCCTCTCACTATCTATCCTCTCTCTCTGGTCTATCTCTCTGGCCTATGGCTCTGCTTTCTCTCTAGTCATATATGGAAATTGGCTCTAGCTAGCTTAAGACTAAGTACTATGGTCACACTCGCTCAGCCCACTCCTTATATTTGGCAAATACAAGGACATTAGCTCATAAACTGGTCTAATTAATGCAATATTCCATTGTGATGTCTGTTTGCGTTGCCAGAGTGTAACCCACACAAACACAGCTTTACTCTCGCTCTCTCTGCAAACAGCGAGCCTTCATCAGGATTCCACAGGGCAGAGGTCCTCCGTGGTGCCATCATTATTTCTGCATTAATTGGCTGCTTTTTCCAACACATTGTCTCAAGGAAAGATGAAGGAAGGATGTGGGAGAGAGAGAGGGAAGGAGAGAGGGAGGACTGGGAGAGAGAGGGAAAAGGGCAAACGCACTAAGGGGGTTGGGACTTGGCGACGTTTGTGGCCAATTAGAGACTTGTATCTGCTACAGAAGACACAGGCGATTGTTACAGTTTAAAATCATGAAGTATGGTGTTGGAGAGAAACTAGAGGGAGACCAGAGAGGGAGACCAGAGAGAGAGACCAGAGGGAGAGACCAGAGGGAGAGACCAGAGGGAGAGACTAGAGGGAGAGACTAGAGGGAGAGACTAGAGGGAGAGACTAGAGGGAGAGACTAGAGGGAGAGACTAGAGGGAGAGACTAGAGAGAGAGACTAGAGAGAGAGACTAGAGAGAGAGACTAGAGAGAGAGACTAGAGAGAGAGACTAGAGAGAGAGACTAGAGAGAGAGACTAGAGAGAGAGACTAGAGAGAGAGACTAGAGAGAGAGAGAGACTAAACCAGGTCCTAAACTAAGTCTAAACTAGGTCTAAACTAGGTCTAAACTAGGTCTAAACTAGGTCTAAACCATGTCAAAACCATGTCAAAACCAGTGGGGGCAGGTCCCGGCTCAAAAGTGGCCAAAATGATGTGCGCTGACATGCTTGCCATACCACACCGGGCCGATGGGGGTGGACCCGGAATGAGAATTAGCCAATGCTAACATATAGCATTGGCAGACCTCTCGACAACGTCTTTCCAGGACGGTCCAAAAGTTGTGTCTTGGCTCCGTTCCACATGTGTGTCAATGCTGAGGGGAGTGAATGTTTTTGGACCAGTCTAGTTTACTTGCTGTGAATTTTTGAAGTCTCTCGTTCAAATGAATGGAGCTTGCGCCGGCTGCCGCATGCGCAGATGCGTTTTTTCACAATGTTCTTGTGGGCGGGACCCATTTTGGAGCTCCAGTAGAGCAAAATTTTTGGCCCATTAGTTAGAACGGCGGAGATAGGCGTGACTACGTCCTTTAATTTTTACAGTCAATGGTCGAAACCAGGTCAAAAACCAGGTCTAAAACAGCTATATGGATATTGTTACAAGAGTCTTCTGTTATTTATGAATAAAAAAGTCCAGTACCTAAGCTTTAACAGGCCTCCATTGCTCCTCTCTGTGGTTGACCTGTTTTTTTTTTTGCTGTGGTGTGAGTCTGAGCCAAACCTGAACCAGAGCAGTGATAATAGTTCTCCAGGCCGCGGTCCAGACCAGGTGCTGCTGCTGAGTCCAGCGCCGTCTGCCCAGGGCTGCCGCACGTTGCCAGGTTGGGCCGGAAATCAGCCTCTGGCAACAATAGGCTGACCGCGGTGATGGTAATTAGATAAGTGGTGGAGTGATGCTGAAGCAGGGAGAGGACGAGATCACGTGTTCTCATGTTAAGATGAAATATGGTAACGTTTGATTACTACTAATATTGCTACTACTACGCCTACTGCTACTATTGCTGCTTCTACTACTACTGCTACTGATGCTGCTACTACTGCTGCCTCTACTACCACTACTGCTGCTACTACGACTACTACTTTTACTGCTGGTACTACTACTAATACTACTACTACTACTACTACTACTACTGCTGCACTTACTGCTACTGTTGCTGCAACTAACATTGCTTAAAATTACCCTACACTACTTTTGCCTCATACTTTCATCTTCTACATTTCTAATTATCTGTAAAACTACTACACTTTCACCTGCAGTAGTACGCTTCATGTGGTTCGCTTCAATCATGTTTCTTGCTTCAAAGTGTCTCAAACTGCGGTGACGAGTCTGTGTTTTGTGCAAACATGCAGCAGAGACAGTAACGACAGCGCAGCAGTCCTGCTGACGCCAAGAACCTCCTGCTGCGAAGAGAACGTGCAAATGCTCAAATATTCAGACTCTTTTTGATTCTGAGGAAGAAACGACAACAGACTCTGGGCCTGATGCCAACAATCTCACACTTACTACACTTTCAATCACTGCTACTGTGTCATAATACTGTACTAATACTGCCACTACTGCATTACAACTACTACTGCTAATACTACTACTACTGCCACTATTACTAATACTACTACTACCAGTACAACAACAACTACTGCCACTACTAATATTACTTCTACTACTGATGCTAGTACTATTGCTGTACTACTGATTGCTACTATTACTACTACTTCTGCTACTGCTACTAATACAACTACTGCTACTGCTACTACAACAACTACTGCTGCTACTGCTAATACTACAACAACTACTGATACTACAACAACAACTACTACTGCTACTATTATTGCTGCTACTACTAGTACAAATGTTACTACTACTGCTGCAAATGTAGGTGATAATACTACTACTGCACTACTACTACTACAAATACTGCTACACTTTTACCAAATACTTTTACCGTTCCCAACTGAACCTGTCGCTCCATTCAGGGATTTCACCTCAACGCGTTTTCTATAAATCAAAACTTTGTTGGCGCTCGGCCCATGCCTTTATACTAGAGAACTGAGGGTCACTGCTTTAAGATGAAGAGGCGCTCAGACATGAAGAGAAACTGCTGTGTCATGATTTACTATAATCTTGTGCTCTGGTGTAATTCCATGTGTTGTTTTTGTGCAGGTTTGGGAAGAAGAAAGACGACAAAACCAAAGGATCCAAGACCAAACTGGACGCACTGAGTGAAGAGGAGCTGGACCGGACGGACCATCGAGACAGGTGTGAGAGGGAATGGAGAAACTGTTTTGGGGAAAAAAAATACATTTAAGTCTAATTTTGTTTTTTATTTCCTCATGTGAGCTTGAGTATGTCACTGGTCTCAGTTCAGTTCAGATTGTTTATTTGAGCTCATACAGTTGTTACAACCACAAAGACATAGTTTAAGTGCTATATAGAACTCAAAATGAGGAGGCAGAAGAAAGATAATACATACACACGCCTACCCCTTTGTTTCATAATGAGTAATACATGTATACATTTCAGAGGTACCAGAATCAAGAGAAATACATACATAGTTAATCATCATCTCTCTCTCTCTGCTTTCTCGCTGGTCTCTGTCTCTGTCCTCTGGTCTCTCTCTCTGGCCTCTCTCTGTGGACTCTCTCTCTCTGGTCTCTCTCTGGTCTCTCTCTCTGGCCTATCTCTCTGGCCTCTCTCTGGTATCTCGCTCTGGCCTCTCTCTTAAGCCTCTCTCTCTTGTCTCTCTCTGATTGTCTGTCTTTCCAGTGCTCCCCCTGTGTTTCTCAGATCCTTCAGCAGCTAACAGATATATTAGCTGAGTCTATACTTGGATCTATAACTTGGATCGGTCTGTTGGAGCTGGAGGTAAACCTTGGCAAGTGCGCGGGGATATCCCATCCTCAGATCAACAACATTATGTGGGAGATAGTTTCCACTGCTCGGACGTGGCCTTCCTCTGACCAGATGATGTAACCTAAAACATCTTGGCTCGGATCTGCTCAGGTCTATATGTAACCGCACCTCAGCTGCAGAAATAGCAGTTTCTAATTTAACACCAAAAGGCCTCGCATCCTTTCCACTTTGAGACATACACACGGCTAAAAACAGCGTCTGTGAGCTGGCTAACCTTTTCTGCAGCGGCTGCTTACTCCTGCATCAAGAAGTGTTTGGTGGGACATAAACCTGGTGTATAAATAGTTTAGTATCACTTACTGTGAGTGCAAATAGGTTCAATCTTAAAGTTCCAGACAGGGAGCAAACAGAAGACACCTAGGACACCCCTGTCTGGTGGAAAAAATGATGATTCAGAAGTATTGCGTTTCAATTCTGCGATATTGAGATTCAGAGTAAACTCAGAGAAAACACAAAAGTGAAACAGATAAATATCACAATTAGGGCTGGGCAATAAAAAGATAACGATATATATTGCAATAGACACATGTAATAGAAAATGGGGTCGATAGAATGTTCGATAGTTTAACTTCACTCCGTTAGAAAAAACAGGAAGAAAACACATGAAGTAAACCTAAGTCAGAAACGCAAAGCATTCTGGGGGATGTAGGCAGAGCCTTCTCGACCTATCACGGCCGAGCATGAACCGCAAAACATTCTGGGAAATGCAAAAAAAACAACAACCGCACCATTCGTTACGTCCGTGAATCTAAAGTTGTTGTGTTTCAATGCCGTGACACTCGATGCATGCGGCAAAAGCAAGAGATTATCTTTTTCCTCTGGAACCACGTTCATCTCTGTGCGGCTCTCTGATAACCACACGGAACCAGCACGGCGACACAAGACACTCGGAAACAGACAAAACAGCTAAACCAGGACCAAACCAGGATTAAACCAGGACTGACAATACGGGACACTTTGCTTGTGAACATATGCCTCCAGTTTGAGTTTTCATTCCCCCTTGACTATAAAAAAGGGCTGCTAACGTGTGTTAGCCAACAAGACAAATTTATTTATTTAGGTTTAAAAAAAACAAACAATATCTATCAATATCGACCGATATGAATCACTTATATTGTGATTCAGTTTTCAGCCATATCGCCCAACCTTAATCACAATACTGCAAAGAATTATAAAATAAAAGTACATTTGGATTTTGTTAAAACAAGATTTTTCAAGTGCTGTTGCAAATTACTTCTCATTCCAAGAAAGATATTTCTAGTATTTTCTTGGATCTTTTTAAAACAAGATCTTTTTTTCTTGCTCCATTTCCAACCCTTGTCAAAATGCACTCAAATTTATATCAAAAACACTTTCTCCAATGTCACAACAGAGTGAGGTAGACGGACATTGCACCATATTGTTTGTTACAGGGATGAGAATGGGACATTTCAAAGAAGTCTGAAATGTATAAATATAAATCTATATACAGTATGTATATATTAGGCGGCACGGTGGATAGCACTCTTGCTTCTCAGCAAGAAGGTCCTGGGTTTGAATCCTGGTCGGAACAGGGCTTTTCTGAGTGGAGTTTGCATGTTCTCTCCGTGTCTGTGTACAGTAGGTTTTCTCCGGTTACTCTGGTTTCCCCTACCACTTAAAACATGTACAATAGGTCTAGCATGACCCTCCTGTACTGGCGACCTCGCTCCCATCTCTGTGTGGAGTGAGAGGACAAATGCTCACAATTGTAAACCGCTTTGTGACTGGTCTGTGAAAGGCAGTATATAAATAAAGATTACTTACTAATAAAGTTAGCCAATGGCTGTCATTAAATCTCTTGTATTTCTTCACATTTTACTTTTGGGCACAACCAACATGAACTGTTAATGCAAGAGGAAAATTGACGTACCCCTGCTTTAATTTAGCGAGTTTAGTTGCGCTTTGGGAAGAGACACAAGGAAGACGCGGGCTGTTTCTTGCAGCGCTGTATTTATTGCGTGATCTGGTTACGCGAAGACACGCACACAACAAGCACAGTATGGTCCTGTGCGTGTATATGGTCTAGGGTAAATGGCCACGTTATGGCCGCGCGCTGCTGTGTTGTTGTCAAAGCGGTTCACAGGCAGCCGCTGGATGCGGGAACCGCTGTCCAAAGCGGCCAAAAGCTGCTCCAAAACGCTTCAGCTGCGGAGGGTGTGGAATGCTGTTCGAGTTCATACAGCAATCAACAGCAAGTGCCCCGCGGTCATGCGTGCCCCCCTCAAACTTTTCTTAACAGACTTGCACATTTCTCAAAAATATCTTTTTGTATGGGGATCGGCCCTTCGGGCATTGGCCGGTACGCCCGATGGCCAGTCCACCCCTGGCGCTAAATAAATAAAGATTACTTACTTAGTGATTCATACACAGCTACATTTGCAACACAACCATAAACACATGTCATAATATACTAATAAAGTTAACTGAAATTTCCCCACTGTGGGACGAATGAAGGATCTTAAACTCAATCTTAACAACTGGAGTACAGAAGTTGCCAACTAAACTAAAAAGTGATGCAATATCGAATGAATGCTTAAGATTTATGGAGGTTTCTACGGGACATTTTTGCAGCCAGATAAGGTAACGTATTGTAAATATTCAGGACAGCGTTTTTGAGGGTTGAACCAATCCAGGAGGGCACCCTGTTTACTTAATACAGCCTGTTGAACTCCGTGGAAAGCACACTCTAATAATCTGTTGTGTTTTTTAATCTATGAGACCAAAGGGAGCGCTCTGTCTTTCTCATCGCCCTGGCTTTCCCCCGGTCTCTAGATTTCCATCTTAAATTGGATCCCTCAGGACAAGGAGGCCGCCGCGAGCCAAGAGTAATTCAGGGCTTCTATTTCCGCGCTTAACATTGTCCTGTTTAAAATATGAACTGGTCCCATGCAAGGTCAGATGCATGCATGCATTGAGATGGAGTGAGATCATAGGATGAGAGGGTCTGGAGTCCTCCGCAAAAGCAAACACTAATACATAAACGTTGACTGGCAGTTTTTCTTATTATATTGTTTGGAAGGTGTTGCAGCTTAAACTGCCTGCACTTGGACTAGAGGCCACATGTGGTACTGCAGCCTAAATCTACATGACTTCCCCATAGACCTCAGTTCACTAAAATGCCTTGTTGTCAGCTGTCTGTGGCAAAGGTTGAGTTTTGTGGGGATTTTGTGTGTGTTTTTTTTTGCTTTTCAAATGCAAATATGTATCTCTCTCTCTCTCTTGTCTCTCTCTCTGGTCTCTCTCCGGTTTCTCTCTCCTGGCCACTCTCTCCTGGTCTTTTTCTCTGATCTCTCTCTCTAGGCTCTCTCTCCGGTCTCTGTTTAACCTCTTATACCTGTGTTCCCTCAGTCCTGGTGGTCCTCGGTCTCTCTAGTTAACCTTTTGTACCTGTGTTCCCTCAGTCCTGGTCCTCGCTCTCTGTCTGGTCCCATGACTCCGGACTATGACGATGACGACCCGTTCTACGCTCGCATCAACGACTTCCGCCAGCCGCCTCCTCAGCTCGACAGGAGCCGCAGTCCCTCTCCTGCCCCAGCCGCTTTGAGGCAGCGGAACCCCACACATGCCTCAGCTGAAGACCTGGAAGGACTCTACGCTAAAGTCAACAAAGCCAAGAAGAGTCACCATCCGAGCCAGGACGAGGGGTGAGTGATGTTGCATGTTGGTTCACTTTGGGCCTTAAAACGGTACATAATTTTTGAATGTGATAATATATAGATACACGTGGAGATAAAACAAACAAGGTAGCTGTAGATCCAGGACTTAGGCTGTAGATCCCAGACTGAGGCTTTAGATCCAGAACTGAGACTGTAGATCCAGGACTGAGGCTGTAGATCCAGGACTGAGGCTGTAGATCCAGGACTGAGGCTGTAGATCCAGGACTGAGGCTGTAGATCCAGGACTGAGGCTGTAGATCCAGGACTGAGGCTGTAGATCCAGGACTGAGGCTGTAGATCCAGGACTGAGGCTGTAGATCCAGGACTGAGGCTGTAGATCCAGGACTGTGACTGTAGAGCCAGGACTGTGACTGTAGATCTAGGACTGTGACTGTAGATCAAAGACTGAGGCTCTAGATCCAGGACCGAGGCTGTAGATCCAGGACTGATTCTGCAGATCCAGGACTGAGGCTTTAGATCCAGGACTGAGGCTGTAGATCCAGGACTAAGGCTGTAGATCCAGGACTGAGGCAGAACTACATTCCCAGTCTCCCCTGAGCCTGAGTTGGAACCTGTTGAAATCAAACAACGTAGATTTTTTTTCTCTTTATTACAAAAAGTTCAAGGTCGTGTCCGCGTCCACAGCGGCGTCTAACAATTGCACATATTTCTTATTCACAAAGCTGCCCAGTTTAACTAATGCATAAACCATGAAGCGGTCTCACTCCCTCATAAACATGCAAGACTCATCTGTGCTCCTTGTGTCACCTCCAAAACACAGCAACATCCAATAAACACACACTCTTTCAATTCTTTCCCATTTATTCCTTTTATGTGTGATTGTGTCTCATTCAGAACACTCACATCTCTCTCTCTTTCTCTTTTGCATCTTTATTCTCACTTATCTCTCTCACTCTCTCTGGTCTTTCTTGTCTATCTCTTTCTCTGGTTTCTTGCTAGTCTCTCTTTCTGGCTGCTTTCTCTGGTCTCTTGTTTTTCTCTCTGGGCTCTTGTTTTTTCTCTCCCTGGTGTCTCTCTCTCTCTGGTCTCTTGTTTTCTTTCTCTCTGGTCTCTCTCCCTGGTGTCTCTCTGGTCTACCTCTCTGGTCTCTTTCTCTCGTGTCTATCTCTTTCTCTGGTCTCTCTCTCACTAGTTTCTTTCTAGCCTCTCTCTCTGGTCTCTGTCTCTCTGGTCTCTGGTTTTTCTCTCTGAACTCTTTCTCTGGTGTCTCTCTCTTTCTGATGTCTCTCTCTCTCTCTGGTCTCTTTCTCTCTGGTCTCTCTCTCTCTCTGGTCTCTCTCTCTGGTCTCTATCCTGTCTCTCTCTTTGGTTTCTCTCTGGTCTTTCTCTGGTTTCTCTCTCTGGTCTCTCTGGTCTCTCTCTGGTCTCCCTATGGTCTTTCTCTCTGGTCTCCGTCTGCTCTCTCTCTGCTCTGTCTCTCTGGTCTCTCTCTCTGCTCTGTCACTCCCACTCCTTCATAAACATGCAGGATCCATCTGGGCTCCTTGTGTCACCTCCAAAACACACAAACGCTATAATTTCTTTCTCTTTTCGTGCGATAGTGACTGATTTGGCTCCGTTAGCTCACTGGGAGTAGAAGTATCTGAGGCTGTTGTTTGGCATTAAATATGAAGGACGGTTCCATTCTTGTCGAGTTTTTTTGCGCTGTTGTTGTTGTTTGCTGCTTTTGCCTTGACTTATGCAAATGCATCGCCCACACGCAGAATCCAGAAGGCCTCCTCTGTGTTTAAAATGTAAAAGTGGTTGCAATAGTGGTAGAAGCAGTAGCAGAGGTGATGGTAGCTTAGCATTTTTAGCTTTCTCAGTTTGTATACTTATTATAGGTGTTTTACATGTCGCCTTTCTCGCCTTTTTAAAGATGAAGAGATCCTCAAATCGTCCCAGAGTGGGAAAACGAGGAGCACACAACACAAGATAAATAAACAATAGCTCTAAATTTTTTGCATAAATAAGAAGCAAGTATAAATTCTCAAACTTTAGCATAGTAAAGAAGCCAGTACTGTATATTCTAGTACAAGAAATACATAATATGTTTACATCTGTACATGTTAGCAGCACTAGACTAGATATTTTCATATCTGAAGCAAAAAATTGGAGTTTCCTCGCAAATTAAGCCATCTGATTGGTCCATCCTTTAACGGCTCATATCTGGATTTACAAAGACTGTCACAAAATAAACACCAGGATCACAGAGAGCATGAATGGTGAGTGTGACATAAACGATTACTGAGCTAGCAAATGGGAGCAACATCTTGTTTGTAAGCAGTTCCCCTTTAAGCTAGTGGGTTAGCCTTCTACACAATCTTGATGAAGCCAGAGTTCTTCAGTCATCTTATCAATGACTGAAGAACAGACATAGCATTTGGATTCCTTTCGCTCTTGGACTCAAAATTATTACAAATCGCCAAGTTTTAGACGTCCGCTGGACTGGATCTCACGGCCCATTTCTCCCATCAGCTCCTCCATTTTGATGAGGATTCGTTTGAATTCCAGAGACAAGTAGGGACGGAAAATCTAGCCGTGATTGTAATGCAAATTTATCCCTTCAAAATATGCAACGTTCAAACTTTTCTCGCAAAAATACTTCCCCCCCGAAATGAAGCTAGTATTGACTTGCAAATGGAGAATAATGTAAGCTCCACGGGTTTTATCCAGGAAGGACCCGAATTCTGACATTTATTAAACACAGAGGGGAGAGTAGGAGTCTCTAGTAGCAGGAGCAGTAGTAGTAGCTGTAGATGTCGTAGTACTAGCAGTAGTAGCAGTAGTATAGTTGTTTTTGCAGGAGCAGCAGTAGCCTTGCATGGGGTATTAGTGTATTAGTGATAGTAACTCGAGTTGAAGTCCCAGAACAAGTAGTAAGAATACTATGCAATGCCAGATCCTGTTAGACCTCTGAAGCTGTGCAGGACAGGGTCTGGTTAGTACTGTGATGGGAGATCTCTGGGAACACCAAGTGCCAAAGTGGGGCAGCCATGGCTATAAAGTGCCAAACTGTTGTTGTGTCCATAGGCAACACACTTCACCCACATTGCCGAGAACAGGGGTTTCTAACCTGTAGCTTGGGAGCCACGCCACCCCCTTCCAGGTAGCTCTCCAAAGGATTTAGAAATTAACACATCAAATAAAATACTTAATATTTCAGATTATTATTCATTATCATTATTTATTATTGTAATTGCACACACTGCACTATTGCACTTTGTCACTCGTAACAAATAGTGATTATAAATAATAACTGTACCCAATATTAGGTTCGTTCACACCAATAACATTTTCCCAGCAGGGCGTTGTAGGTTGGAGACACCTGGCCTAGAATGAGTCTGGCGTGTGTGTGAATGGTTGGTAGTGGTCAGAGGGACTGAATGCACAGACTGGTAGCCTAGCTTCTGTCAGTGTGCCCCAGGGCAGTTGTGGGTACAGAAGTAGTTTATCATCTCTTTGTATGGAGTGAATCAATAATGACATAAGCGTCTTTGAGTGTCTTGAAAAGCGTGATATAAAATTATTATTATTATTTATATGAGCACAACCTTTCTTTGAACTTCATCGTGCTGTGTTTGCATGTGTGTGTTAGATAGAGCCCAGTGAGTCACTATTTGACTCTCTGGGCTGAGAGCTGATTGGCTGAGTAAGGGTGGTCTTGTATTATTCACTCTTCTGTCTGAAAAAACTGATCTAAAGATTTGACAGAGGCCAGAAACACATGGAAACTAGTGATAAAACTGTTTTCAGAGCGAGGATCTAACCACGTGGATTTAAATAAAGCTTCCTCATTTGTGGTGTGAAAGTTACGTACCCAAGCTTTATCTGCAGCTGTCCGCGGGCAGAGCTCAGGAGGTGATTAGCGTTGCAGTGTATCGTTCAGACGGAGCACTTTGGTGCGGTACTTCATTAGCACGCGCTCTGACGTTAGCGCCTGATAGGTATTCGATAGCGCGTAGCATTAGCATGACGGAGGCCGGCTCCAGCTTGTTAAGCCGACCCAGAGAGACGCAGACAGATGGGCCCTAATGTCCACCACACTGTCACAGAGGAGAGAGGAGGTCAGAGCAGAGGATAATGGGCTGTTAGCGCCGAGGGACTGCGAGCAAACAGAAGAGAGGCTGCGGGAATGCAATGAAATATCACTATTCCAGCTTTAGCTAGTAGCGATACGAAGGCTGCTGTGCTTAAAGCTGGGGTATGCAAATTTAAAACCACCCAAATTAAAGCTATGTAGAGCCTAGTGCTGTAAATACTTAGTACAAGCTTGAAATAGTTTAGAAGGAAGGTAAAACTTGCAGGAGAAAGGATATCACACAAAGAAATGGACTGAGCTAGTATGAATGACTAAATTTGGGCTGATCTAGGACCACAACAGACTGATCAGGAAATGTCTCTCTGTGATGGGGAGAAGTGTGGACTCTGTGGGAGCTGTGCTGAAGAGATGAATGAGGTCTCTAATGCAGGGCATCCTCGGTAACTCCGGACACCCTCTGCATGACTCTATGGCCGCTCAGAGGAGTAATCAAAGCAACAGGCTCCTATCACGGGCGGCACGGTGGCTGAGTGGATAGCACTCTCGCCTCTCAGCAAGAGGGTCCTGGGTTTGAATCCCGGTCGGAACTAGGGATGTAAATCGGTGACCATTTAACCGGTGGTTGACCGTCACAGCGTTAAACGGTCAAAGCTGTCGGTTAAAAAAAAAGAAAAGGGGGAGGAGGAGGTCTCTTAATAACGTTATTTTAAGCCCTATTTGCACGGTGTGGCGAGCGGGTCTGTCTCTAGCTGTGTGCGCCAATGTATCAGTAAACTCCGGGCCGACTCTCATGCCGTGTGCACACACACACACTTTCCCCCCTCCATTGATACTGTACGTAACATCCACACGCATCATCTCTCCCCTCTGTCCGCCAAAGTTGCACACTAGCGCGGGTTAGAACTACATTGGAGCTTACATTTACACACACATACATACATATACA